AAAGAAAGAAAGAAAGAAAGAAAGAAAGAAGAAAGAAAAAGAGTGAGAGCGACGAAAGAAAAAAAAGAAAAAAGGGACAGAGACAAAAGGAAGGAGAGAGAGAAAAGGAAGGAGAGAGAGAGAGAGAGAGAGAGAGAGAGAGAGAGAGAACACATGGCCTGCAAGCCACTCCCATCAGGTCACATGGCCGGCAAGCCACTCCCACAAAGGAGGCCACACCCACAGAGTAGGTTCCAAAATTTTTTGAAACCCACCACTGGTCTGAACCAGTAGCGGAAATCGTGGATGGGTCTACCCAGCCACTCCAGCTCTTTGCTGTCCTATTTAGGTACATTTTTGAGGCCGAGCGCCTGCGCGAACAAGATGCATGCGCAGAAGGCCGGGCGCAGGCGGGGCAAACCAGTGGTTACAAAATGTGAAACCCACTGATGATGATGATGATGATGATTTATCGCTCGTCGCTTGTATGTACAATGAGAGAGACAAATTCCTGGTGTGCCTGATCCCTCGTGGCCAATAACGAATTCTAATATCATTGGGGAAAGAAATGGAAAATTAGAAATTCCTGTTCAGGTCAAGAGGATCAGGAATTCCACGGAATCACCTGCAGAGGCTCTCCTCGTTTTCCTCGCAACCAACTCACCGACATTGCTCATCTCCGGCACGGTGGCGTGATAGGGGCCCTGAAGGAAGACGGGCGGGTTGTCATTAATGTCCTGGACTTTGATAATGAACTCGGAGGGGGGCTCCAGAGGCCGGTTGGAGGCCCGATCTACCGCTTGAGCCAGTAACGTATACTGTGCCTTCTCCTCTCGATCCAACGTCTTGGTGACATGGATGTTGCCCGTCTTCTCGTCGATGACGAAGACCGTGCCAGCCCCTTCTCCGGTCAAGACATACTTGATGCGGCCCTCTCCGTGATCCACATCTGTGTGCAGCTGCCAAAGAGAAAGAAGACATACATGTCAGGGAATTGAGAGTTCACGAGTGGAAGAGACATGGCAACGGGGTCAGCCAATGAGGGGCTGTTTGGAAACTGAAATAGGACTTGCTGTGTGAGCAACAAGGAGTCAGCAAGGAGCCTGGGCGTGGCTTAGCTTCTGTACTAAAGCTCTGAGTCTGTGCTGGGCTCAAAACTAGTCTGCCCCTCTAAACTGAAACTGAAACTCTTCTCTCCTCTGCCTGTGTTTGCTTGAATTTACTACCATGTTGGAAAACCTACTTTTGGTATTGTATATTTACTTCATGTGTATTGTATATTTGGTATTGTATATGTACTTCATATTATATTATATTATATTATATTATATTATATTATATTATATTATATTATATTATATTATATTATATTATATTATATTATATTATATTATATNTATTCTATTCTATTCTATTCTATTCTATTCTATTCTATTCTATTCTATTCTATTCCATTCCATTCAATCCCATCCCATCCCATCCCATATTGTTAGGGGCTAACAATAAAGGCTTCTGTTTGAGTGGGACAGTCGATTCTAGGTGGCCAGAGACTTGAAACATCTTAATGGTATGTTGAGCATGGATTTTTGGTCCTTCCTGCTTCCTCTTAACAAAAGAAATCCAATGGCACTCTTTGTGGCAGGACTTCAGATCGTAGAATCCAATCTCACACTTGGAACTAACGTGGATATCATTTAGTCTAACCCCCAGCTCACTGCAGCCCCCACTTGAGCATCTCTGACAGATGACCAGATGGTCTTTCAATACATCATTAGCAGCTGGATTCACTGGCTGATAGCTCCTAAAGTCAAGCAGTTCCTCCTGATGTCTAGCTACAACCTGCCTCCTTAGAGTTTTTATCCACCCTTTCCTGGTTTGCACTTGTGGGGTTACAGAAAATAAGTCCACTCCTTGTTCTGAGTGACAGTCCTTGAGACATCTATCATGCCTCTTCTCAAATATCTCTTCTATAGAGTAAATATGAACAGATCCTTCAACTATCCTACGCAGGGCTGGTTTCCAGTTTCTTACCCTTGTCTTCCTCCAAATTCCTTCAATTTGTCACTATCTCTTTTAAGCTGCACTGGATATAGCTCCCCAGATGTGATCTGATTGGGAGAGAGGGGAATGGAATGATTCCTTACCATCTCAGACCCAGACTCTGCTCTTCCTTGTGTACCCCAAGGGACCAGCTGCTTCAGAAGCTGCTAAATTGTGGTCCAGAAGGATGCTGTGATCCGTTTTGCATGTACTGCTGCCAAGCCAGTTCTTCGCCATCTTAAATTTGTGTCTTTTGTGTTTCGTAGCTGGGTACAGAATTTCACATTTCTATTCCATCCTACTACTCTCACCACTAGACATTTAAAAAAATGATTGAAATTTTTAAAAGACAAATATAAACCAACATGCAAAAACAAAACAATAGTAATAGCTAAGAAATCAGTTAATTAAATTGTACAGCTAAATCAAAGAGGAAAAATAAAAAATAAATAGAAAAAAACAGGTGGCTGTGTAAATCACCTAATAATCGCATATTTAATATATTACATCACACATTTTGTTATGTAATAACAGTGAAATTGCTCAAAAATTGTCTATTCTTGTAAAATATTAGAAAAACTATGGCAAAAGGAAACTTATGGAACTCATTTTTTGTTTAGTAACAAAAATAGCCTTTTCAACAATGAATGAATTGCACACATTTCTAAACTCCGTTGTTTGATATCCAGGGTTATAATACTATTTAAAGTCTCTCGGTATAATTTTCTTGGCTCTTTTTTGTACCCAATATTATCAAGATCATCCTTGATACTGACCACTTGTTCAGTGACCATTCAAAGTCACAATGGTCCTGAAAAAAAATCATTTACATTAGCGGCATCCCTCAGTCATGGGATCACCATTATAGTCAGTATGCATTGTTCTATGTTTGGTCTGTTGTTTTTCCTTTCTCTCTCCGTGCAGAGAGAAGAAGAGGAAGGGATTAGAGTAAGCAGACATATAATGGGAATAAACATTAAAAGCAGTGCAATGGTGCAAACAACCAATGTATTCCTACTGTATACTTGCTTACTTTTTTTCCCTTCAGCCCTGGACTGAATTGAAAGATCTTTAGCCATGCCTCCTCTTCCGGCTCCTCAGATTTTTCAGTTCAGTTCTAGCCCAATTGACACATTTTCAGTGGTTCCAGCATATCAACAGAAATTTTACCTTTACTTGGACTTTCCAACCAGATTTTTTTTTCATCCTACAAGAAAATAAGGTCTGTTTAAAGTTACTTTTGATTCCCTGGCTTCTGCTTGTTGCCGGCGCTTCTTCTGGGCTTCACTGGGCGCGCGCGGCTTCTTCGACTCACGCGATGAGAGCTGGCTTGGGAGCCACCACATTCGCATTTTGCATTGGTGCAGCGGTCAGCGGCGAGGGGGCCCAGCTGCTCGCGCTCGTTTCAGTGTTTTGGCGCGACGGTCAGTGGTGTGAGGACCCAACCATTGTGCCATTGCCCTTTACTAAATGAAGCGTTTGGCGCGATGGTCAGTGGTGCGAGGACCCAACCGTTCGCACCATCTCTTCTACAGTTTGAATTTTGCGCCACTTTTTTCCAGCAGTAGTCAATGCTGTGGCCATTTTGTTTGAGTGAGGGAAAACTTCTGGCAGCCATTTTGTTTGCAATTTTGCCGCGTTTTTTCCCTGCACTTTGGAGCGAGCCTTGGAGAGTGGTGGCAGTGTGACTTCTCTGTCCCGCAATCCGGCGGCCAGTTCCCCCCCCCCCCACAGTGGTAATTCCTAAACAACAGCGAGGTGTTGATCCTTGCCTTAGGCCTCCCTCTAGCTGTCCAATTTGCAGGCACTGGGAGGATTGGATCTTGTGCCAGAGATTTCCTCGTGGAGGTGCCCTTAAGACTCATCTCAGCCAGCGACTTCTCCGCTTCTATTCCAGCAGCTGCAGCTACTCCAACTGTGTTCCAAGTAGTGAGTGGTGCCCAGAATACACCTGCCCACAACACAATGGCAGACAACCCCCATCAGGAGGCAATGCAGCCAGGGCCCTCTAGCAGCAGGAGCCTTACCAGGCAGGCTAGCAAAGCAGCTTCA